ATTTTTGGTTCTTGTGGAGGAAGTCGCCATGGTCCAAAGTTAATGGAGTATGGTTGCTGGGAGTTTTTTTTAAAGCCTTTTGTGGGAGCGCTTCTATATCACATCACGTGGGCACCACACACACCCGGGCCAATCAGGTGTAAAGGCGGTGGAAAAGCATCCGCAGGGGGCTAAAGTGAACTGAGCCACACCGTGTTCTGTCGGTGGAAAAGCGGCATATGCTTTCTTGTCCCTAAATAAAAGTTTATACGTATATATGTATGTATGTGTATCTGGCGAGTGAGAGTGAAAATGTGTCTCCAAAATAAATTTTGTTGTAGTTGTGCTCTGTACTTGTATAATGACAATAAATCTCTTCATTCATTCAAGAACAAAGCCCACACTTCCTTTCAACATTTTAAAAGGTCACAACCATAATCACTGACGTTACCAAAATAAAACTGTAACAGGATACAAATTCTCATTAGATACAGGGGTTAAAATGCTAACTATCATGTTAATAGTTAATTATATACACCCTACCTGATCAAGAAACTCTAGGATTATGGCAGTTTTTGCTTTGGTTGTCCCTCCTTTCTTTCTGATTATTTTAAGTAGCTGTGGGGAGTGCTTGTCCAGCTGGACCATGAATCTGGTTAGCAGGGGAACTGCAGTAACCCGCAGAAACTCTGCATTAATCTGTACATGAGTAGACAGTGTACAATACATTTTTTTAAAGACCAACTTCCAACAAGAAAAAGTCAAAACATATATTTCCCATTTCCAAACTATGATAAAAGGCATTAGTACAAAAAAGTTATACCTCTTCCATCTGAAATAGACCTGGCCATCTTTCCAAGAGGTTCTTATTGTCAGGCTTCTTATCCACAACCTCTTTCCTCCTGAATTCGAAGGTCCTGGCCATCAACACACAGATATTTATATGAAGAGAGACAGAGACAAACGTGCGCGCACAAACACAAGCTTGTGTCTAGAAACCGCGAGCTCACCAGAAAAATTCAAACGAAGCGGAGCACGGAGTTATACTATGAATGTTATGAACTATGAACTTATGCTAGCTAGCTGTATCCACCACCGATGCATCGTGGTAACGCTAGGTAGTTAGTATACTGGTAAAAAACGGCTTTTTGCCTAACTTGCATTCCCGACTGTGATGGTCTGTTGCTGGTAACCAGTTCTAACGTCGCGCCGGATAGCTAGCTAGCTTGTAGCTAGCAGCTACAATCATGCAAAAATTGGGGGTGGCTGTCGACCCAGCTTAAATGGGGTTATTTTCTGCAACTTTGGCAATACAAATTATAAAAGCTTTTGTAACACACTTGGCTTTACTTACGTTTATTTTCAGATGAAATTAATCAAAGATGTGACACGATGTTTCCAGCAGCCATGCAGAATAAAAATGGGTCCCGGTCTATTTCTGGTTGGCGTGTTCAAGTGCAAATCACTTTGACTCAAATTAAAGATATTATCTGTTCAACATGAAAAGAAATATATGTTTTGAGAGAAATCAAAAACTTTGCGTTGTGTCCTTTGTACAGATATTTAGTTTCATCCAAATCAAAAGTGGTATTTTAAAATGCAAAAAGAAAGGGTTTCACAATCAAATCAATGATTTTATTCTGTTTTGAATGGCACTTATTAGATTGAATGAATGCATGTTAGACTTTTTTCAGTGTATACACAAGTTTTCCAAACAAAGTTATTTGCAGCCATTTACCTTTTACCTTTTTTAAATAACCATTTCAAACTGTTTACAGAACAATCAGCTGTTCTTCAATAAGATGCCACAAATTATTTGTGCCACTCCAAAAAAATAATTTCTGTCCACTATAAAGGAAACATCACAGCCTGATACCTGCAGGTCTGACAGCAGCAGGTGTATCACTCCTGTTTCTACCTGGAGACAGCAGTCGCCTCATTGTTCTGACACACAACACAAAACTATCCACAACACTACACACTAACTACACAAGACAACACACTAACTACACACTCCAAACACGCTAAACGTCACAAATCTCTCACATCTCAAAACTCGCTCTCTCTCTCTCTCTCTCGCTGTCACTCCTAAAACTTCCCCTGTTTTGGGTTTTTTTTGGGGGGGGGGGGGTTTGCTCATAAGCAGAGAGTGCTTGCTGCGCTGTCCTTAGACAGTGAATGTGAAGAAACTATTGAGGAAAAAACGCGTATATATTGTTTATCATGAGTCTGGTTTTACGTGGCCTATCAACACAATTTAAAAACTGGTATATATCACCTTGTTGATAATATTAGAGAATTTAAGATGAGTTGGTGTTTACAAGTTTGTGCAAAAGTTGTGCGATGAGAATTTAAGTGGCATTTGTTGAAGTGACAGTGTGCAGAGTCCTGTAATTGTAGTGAGGGTGTATGGAATGTTAGCGGTTCAAAAGTCTGATGGCTTGTGGGTAGAAACTCTCTCTGTCTGCTGGTGCGGGTCTGAATGCTCCTGAACCGCCTGCCAGATAGCAGGTGTGGCTGGGATCAGAGACTTCCTCATGCAACGCTGTCTATAGAGATCCTGCATGGCTGGAAGTTCATTCCTGGTGGTTTTGCCCCCTTAGCTCCAGGTGTTGTGCCAGAAAGTGATTGCTGTCCATAGGAGCGCGCAGCTGCTTAAAGCTGTAGCGTCCAGATTACTTACAGCTACTTCCATGCAACTGATATAAGTTGCGGTAAGATGAACACAGCTTCAACTGTCTGTTTGTTGAAAAATACTAACGGATCGTTGTTAGTAACGGTAACGGCATTGTAACAATAGAAATAGTAATTAGTTAGATTACTTGTTACTGAAAAAAGTAACGCCATTAGTAATGCCATTACTTATAACATTGTTTTTCTCATCACTTGTCATTGCAGCAGTGAACTCAAATTCTGTGTCAAATACTGAGCTTCAGTAAAGATTCAAGTTGCAGTTATTTATATTTCCTATCACCTTAAATCACAGGTGTTGAACTCCAGGCCTCAAGGGCCGGTGTCCTGCAGGTTTTATACGTGTCCTTGATCCATCCCAGTGTACTTCAGACCCAGCAACACACTCAGACACAAACTTAACAACGTAGTGTATACTGTACAGTGTAGTGACGAATGCCCAGACCTCTACATTGGAGAGACCAAACAGCTACTTCATAAACGCATGGCACAACATAGAAGAGCCACCTCCACGGGACAAGACTCAGCTGTCCATCTGCATCTAAAGGTCAAAGGTCACTCTTTCCAGGATGCCAATGTTCACATTTTGGACAGAGAGGACAGATGGTTTGAAAGAGGAGTGAAAGAAGCTTCTATGTCCACTGTGAGCAACCATCTTTGAACAGAGGGCGGGGCTTATCACACCAACTGTCTGCCATCTATAATCCAATTTTGAGATCCTTCCCAGATGCCTGAACGCCCACTCACATCCTGGGCCTCTTGACCTTAGTGAGTCACATGATAGGGTGGGGCTAGGTCTTAGAACTGAAGAAGCTTCTCAGCTGAAACCTCTTCATCAAACTTAAAGAAGTCCAGCTGATTTTCTTGTCTTTTCAAGCTCCTGACGCACTGACCAACTTTTAGATTGAAATTAAATTATTCAGCAGCAGCCTGACAGAAAGTGCAGACACAGGCTGTTTACTGATGGAGCACCAACATCTGTCAAAGCTCTGAACCTTTAAAATGTTGTTTGACATCAATGACATCATTCAATCTCTAATGTGTTGACATCTGAAGAAGAAATGTAATCAGATTACCATCTGGCTGTCCACAGCTGCAAAGATGGAGACCAGATATTTTACTGTACTGATAATCAATCACACATTGATGTACTGAGGACTGATTAACTGTGATTCAGATAAATTCTCTCCCCTCTGAGCTCTGACAGAGACTTAAGTTAACCTGTCTGTTATCATGATAACTGAGACTGAATGACTCCTCTCAACCTGAAAAAGACTCAACCTGTGAAACCTGTACGTGAAACGTTTTCAGTGAGAGGATTAAACATGTGACTGTAAACATTCCCAAATGCCCAGTGTTGTATGGTCCTGTTTTTCTCTTGTTCATAACTAAACGTGAAGCACTTTGTTGCTTTCAAATGTAGAAATAAAACCGATCATTGAAAAATCATCAGAGACAGCTGCACTCTCTGAATTCTCTTGTTTGTTTGTTTTAGACTGAACTTTATTTAAACTAACGAGACAACAGTGAAAGGTTTGTGGTGATTTAACGAGCCCTCATTAAACTCAGACTGAATGTCTTGTTTTTGTTCTCATTACCTCCCCTGAGCCTCTGACCCTTGACCCTACTCTTTATATAAAGGTAAATCTGTTGTAGTGGTAATTCCTCCTGTTTGACAAACCAAACATCCCATAATTAAAAATCCACAAGCCACTGCTGCACTGAGATAATATTTCGTACGCAGGCAAAAGAAGTCCACTGTCCAAAGTTGTAAGTTGTGTTTTTTCATCCAGTTTGGCAATAACAAGATCCATTTTTTGTTTCTTCCTGCTGCTTCTCCTGCTCTGGTAAAAAAAAAAAACACCCATAGGCCCACCCCAGTGCATGCTGGTCCTATACCAGTCTCTTTATTTATAGAAACAAAATGGCCCTACAGCTCTTACTGACTAATTGAACAAGGTAACATCAAACAAACAAAACATTGAAACAAATATTAACCTACAAATAAACTTGTAAATAAACCCCAAAATATAAGTAAACTAACAACAAACATTAACAACAAATTTCAAAAATAATAAAAATAAAGAACAAATAGCTCCAACATCTGTTATTGTCTCGGTATTGTCTGTTTGTTTTTCTGAAGGAGAAACTGAGACAGTCATGTGACCATCAGGAGTCCCATTAAACTATAAATTCTATCAAACTTTATTTCAAATCACAGTGGAGACACTTTGTAAAAAAATAATAATTCGATTTATGTTCAGCTTTCAAGGGAGCCAAGGCCGCATTACATAAAGAAGGTCAAAGTTCAAAGATCTGAACATTAACTGATGGACATTGAAGATCTCAGAGGGGAGCACTCACACAGAGGAGGCAGCAGAGCTGAAGGTCTGCTGTGGGGCTGGAGATGGCACCTGTCAGACCATCTCCAGCCACCTCGTGCTGACGAGGAAAGCATGGAGGGGTTTGTAGATGTGGGACGGTCAGTGGAGGTGCCTGTGTGGACTGACCAATCAGGACAGCTCAGCAGGAGTCCAACCAGGAGGTGATCAGGGAAGCTCACTGTGACCTCAACGACCAGCGGACGGTTAGTGGTTTTGATCCCTGGTTGCTCCAGTCGCCATGCCAAATACCCTTTGGCGACATACTTACCCCGAGCTGCTCTGTGAGACCTCCATCAGAGTGTGAATGTTGTATAAATGCAGATACATAAGAAGCACTCTCTTTTTACTCCTAGTTTTGTTTGTTAAAACAGAAATCTAACAGTCCTCACTGACTTACATTGATAATCTTGGCTTCGATGTGTTAAGATGTTACTGAGAGACTGAAACATCACACCATAACACTCAGTGTCAGTGAGCAGGGTGTTTTTTATATGACCTCTTCATAGCAGGAGGAGACTGTCTGCTGACAGCATAAATCTTTTTTTTTCAAACAGAGGCTTTTAGTTTTTACAGTGTGTTTCCTGTGTTTCAGGGGAAGCCATATGTGTTCGACCGAGTCTTCCCCCCAACCACTGAACAGGTTCAGGTGTACGACACCTGTGCCAAGCAGATCGTCAGGGGTCAGTGCAACATATTCCATTAAAGAAGGAAAGTGACTGAGAGGAAGTGACGGCTGTAAACGGCGTTTGTTTCTTTGTTTGTGCCTCAGATGTGTTGGGAGGATATAACGGCACCATCTTTGCTTATGGTCAGACCTCCTCAGGAAAGACTCACACAATGGAGGTTGGTCTGTTGTTTTGTAGTTTATTTTCAGGTCTTTGTTTTGGTCTTATTTGAATGATTACTTAAATGATTTGTCATGTTTCAGGGGACCCTTCATGACCCTCATCAGATGGGCATCATCCCTCGTATTTCCAGAGACATCTTCGACCACATCTACTCCATGGATGAGAACCTGGAGTTTCACATCAAGGTGATTCTGCTTGTGAAACAAATATTTTTATGTTGTTTTTGTGTTTCTGTTGTCAGATCTTAGGAAAATCTAACTGTAAAAAATGATTCTTCATCTTAATTCAAAGAAATATCATCATTTGATCAGTGTAGCATCATTTAATCTCCAAAGTGTTTTTATTCTGAATCACAGTTTTTCTTTTTAGAAGACTGAACATGTTTAACGTAACATAAACACTGGCTGTGTATCTGCAGGTGTCTTATTTTGAAATCTATTTGGATAAAATCAGAGACCTGCTGGATGGTGAGACCAACCCTGAACCTTTACTATGCTCATATAGAGTTGAATAGAATAGTAGAGTAGAAATAGAGTGTAAGTACAATCAAGCTAATGCTAACTGCTATGATGATGCTTTCATGTTTCAGTGTCAAAGACCAACCTGGCTGTTCATGAAGATAAGAACAGAGTTCCCTTTGTGAAGGTAAATAAATCGTGTTAGCTGCGTTTCGACTGCAGGAACAAAAGTCAGCAGAAACTGTCTCCAGATGTTTGTTTCCACAGCTGTGGGGATCCACTGGACTCACCTGGTAGCCTAAATAGTGACTGGATATAACTGCAGAGGCCTGAACTATTTTGGGTTAGAAGGTGGTTCATTCTTACTGGGGTAAATCGACACAGTAACTTATGCTGTGAATTTAACTCGCTCTGGAGCCCGTTTAGATCCAGATTAGACGTCAGCAGGTATGAAGCACCGCCCACTGACCAATCAGTTCTCCAGAATACAGCGTCACAGTTCCTGGATGATCCGTCAGAGGTTTGTGTGCAAACAGTAGGAGCGTCTAAAGTTTTCTACTTCCATGCAAAGACATGGTATTAAATCATAAATATTAAATAACAAATAATAATATAGATGTTTAGACACAGTGTTATTAATTTATAAGCGTAATTATATGATTATAAAACAGGACACCTGCACTCTACCTGCTGAGCTCAGATCAAATATGGACATAGACTCATGTCTGAATCGTTAAACGGCAGCTGAGAGAATAGGCAAGGCAAGTTTATTTATATGGCACAATTCAACAGCAAGGTGATTCAAAGTGCTTTACAGAGACATTAAAAAACAGAAACAACTAAAAAGCATGATTTAAAATGAAAAAGAAAAAAAGGAACAGTAGATAAAATCAGTAGTTAAAATGTAAGTTTTGAAATTTAAGCTTAAAAGTAAAACTTTTAAGGATTTGGTGCTTTATTCAAATGCAGCTGAGAACAGGTGAGTCTTCAACCTGGATTTAAATAAACTGAGTTTTTCCGCTGATCTGAGGCTTTCTGGGAGTTTGTTCCAGATATAAGGAGCATAAAAG